ATGGAGGGGGAAGGGGGAAGCAGGGCACCCATTGCCAAATAGCCAAGCACACAAATTGCAGCCTTGCCTAATATTTAGAAATCCTAGATGCCTGCACAACAGCTTCTCTGGAAAGACAATATGGACTGTAACAAACACAGGTGTGTTAGTGTGTAGCTAGAACACAATAGAAAGTGGAAAGAGCTTAAGATAGTACAAACCAGGCAATCATGATGTTGTATAAAAAAAACCTGGACACTGTTTAAAACATAAATAGTAATTCCCAAGATACATTACTTATATTACTCCTTTATCAGGCCCCAAAGAAAGCAACTTCCTGTCTTTGGCAGAACCTTTTAAACCCTGAACTATCCAAGCCATCAACATCACATTCTTTGTCAGTGTTATCTAGCTGTCCCCTCCTTCTGGGCTGCTCTACATCTGTCCCAGGCACCTTGCTTTACAGATCACATCTCATTTATCAACCTGTCATATGAAATAAAACAATAACAAAACCAAACACCACCCATTTCATTTGTCTGCAAAGCTATTTACAGGTATTTTGAGTTAGATTTCCTGCCAAATAAAGGAAAATCCCAGCACTAGTGTACTGTGTCCATCTAGCAGTGTCTAAGGAACAGCGTTGACTAAATTATGAATTACCATTACTGTATAGCATCTGCACACTGATAAAGCCTATCTTAGAAAATGAGAATAAAAAAGGAGTCACTGAAGTGGTTCTTCAAGGAAATAGGTATAATTATTCCAGGTAACACGTGTGTGGTAAAAGAAATATATTATTAATATAAATAAGGTAAATAAGTACTATGGACACAATATTAAACAAAAAAGGAAAATGAATTATTCAACATTTTTCCTTCTGATTTTCACTGGTGTGTCCTATAAAAGAGTGTAAAAATATTCAGGTTCATGTAATTCAAGATGTTAACCCCTGTATTTAGAGGCATTTGATTTTCCTTGACATCATCCAAGAAAAGCTGTCAATAAGCCTTTAATTTATGTGAAGTAAGAGACATCAGAAAATGGCATGTCAACATTAATGCAGACATTCTAATGGATAGAAGGCTTCCTTTCACATTATACAAACCAATTAAACCCGATATACTTTCAGTCTATTGAATTTTATCACTTCCAACTTTCTTTGTTTCAAGGAAAGCCTCCTCTAGTAATCTACTTGGAAGTAATCAGAAGAAACTGATAGCAATATAGGATATAAAATAGGTGCATAGCATGAATGAGATTCTCTTCCAAAAGAAACTGTAGGAAAAAAAAAAAAATCCTTTCAAAAAAGGGCAAAGTGTTAGAAGAAATTGATGTGTACGATTCAGCCAGCAGGAGAGACGTGGAAGCAATCTGGAACAGCTTACACTAATTAAAATTTACTCTCCAGTGCCAGCAAGAAAGACTTCTCCGTATCTAAGTCAACTTTTGCATAAAGCTAAAGCAGCAGCTGGTGTATCTTTGAAGACAGAGGACAATTCATTAGTATTCTTTTAATTGAGTTTTCCCTGAACTTATAAACACATGCTGGTCTCACTTTTATTTGTTCGGTTTGGAGAGTTTTGCTCTAAAATGACCAGAATTTCTGTATCTTTCTGCAAGTCTTTGTCCATAGAAGAACAAGACACACAGTGGCGGGTATTTGCAGATTTAGAAGTAGTGAACTCTGAAGTGTTACGATAAGGCTTGAGGTTAAGTGTGTACTGATAAGGCAATTTTCCCAGCAGGACCCAATTCTGATTAATAAAAAAATTAAAAAATCCCATCACAAGTAGCAGGGAATATTGTTATAATCCTTGATGCCGATGACTTCAGTGTGGGACCCAAGCAACCATTCAAGCAGAGACCATGGCTATCAGGAAGTGACTCTCCAGCTCTTTTGCTTGCTCACTATCAGATGACTCCAGCCTACCGTTCGCCGGGGGGCATTTTGGCACCTGGAGTCACATACCCGGCAAGTGGCCACATTGCTGGACAAGAGAGCCACTTTTTGAGAGCCAGATGCAGTGTGATCTAGATAGTTCTGTCACTGGAGACCAGTCATTTGGGAACCAGTGCTGTGACGTGCTTAGACACAGAATGTCAGTACCATCCAAGGTCCCTGTGCCTTGCAGTTCCTTGCCAATTATGCTTCCTAAATATCAGCAATTCAAATACAATTTCAACATCATTCCTTTGTCTCAGAAGGATTGTCTGGGTGCCTGAAGTACCTCATACATTTCCGTGTTGGTTTGTAAATCTTATAAGCCGTTTTTTTCAGGTTCCTAAATTCTTAACTGATTAGGTCTGTGCATTTTCAGCTCCAAATCTACAGCTATAGTGGAAAAGTATCACTTCACAGACAGAAAGTCATGACAACAAAAGAAGTCTCTCATTTTTCATTTTGCTAAGTGTCTGATTACATGTTCTCAGGCAAATCAGATAACCTGAGATTCACTTGACTCATCCGTTGAGCACAAACCACCTTTGCCTTTACATTGCACTTTATAATCCTAGGATCTCAAAGCCAAGAACCAATACAAAATACACAGTGTCTCTCTGATGGAAACCAATGTTGGTTGGAAAACTACCTCGTGTCACATGGAAATCTGTGGCCATTTTGAATTATAAAGCTAATCGGTAATGATTTTCCCAGTATAGAGTGCTGTGTACAATCCAGGAGTCAGAGAAAGAATCAGAAAACCCCAAAGATTAAAAAAATTAACCACCAGAGGCACAGATTAATATCAGTAATTTACAAATTAGCTTCTAAAAGCATTAAAACCCAACAGCAAACCAAGTTAATTTCCCTCCCAAGCTTTCTTCATTCTCTCTCTTTCCCCTTAACGTGCTTTCTCTCTTTCTTATAATGGTTTCTTGAGGTTCTAATCACAGAATCATTGTGGTATCAGTCCACTGGAAGCATAATTCTGGCAATACTCCTTTTGAAGAACAATTTAATTAAATTAAAGTGTTAAATAGTAGAAGAAATTTAATTTCCTCTGACTTTGTCCTTTTTTGAATACTTAAACCTATACAATTATACATGAAAAAAAATTGAATCTATCACCGCTGAAACCTCAGGAGTCATCAATTAGATATTTTTCCAGTGCCTATAAAAGAAAAACCAACCCTTTTAAAAATCCAGTCATGGGGGAAAAGTCATTTTTTCATATTGAAATGTGTAAGTGCCCTCTTCCCACCTGTAGTATCAGACACTTTTAACAAAAAAAAAAAAAAAAAAAAAAAAAAA